CATGCGATATTTAACGCGCATTTTGTCAGTAAAGCCATTCTGTAATCAGCGGTAAATCTCCATCACGTGCAGGCTGATTACAGAACCGGCTTTACTGACAAGATGCGCGTTAAATATCGCATGCGATTTATCGTGCAGTCCTAGTTCAGATCCAACCTCTTTCTTATCTTTTGTGGTAAAAGACTATGCTGTTAATAACAGAGCATTTACACTGACACAAACGTGCACACACATGCACAACATCGCACACAAGAACACAGGAGGAGCCACAGTCTGCCACAGTGGATAGAGAAAAAAATAGCCGCACCTATTTGCAGTTAAAATCCACTCTGTCCAAAAAAGAGATTGAGAGGTTTCAGAGAACAGAACTGCAAAACAAGTATTTCTCCATCCTAAAAGACAACAGAAAACAAAACCATCTATTCATGCTAAAAAAAAAAATTACCATTAATTTTCTAGTCATTTGTGATAAGAATTTTCAAAAATCGTTGCGTAGAGTTGGTCATTTCAAAGGTCCTTACAGCTTACAATAGCAAAAGAACCAAAACCCACAAAGACCCTAACCAAGCAAATAAATATAGCAAAAAAATAGGAAAAAATTATTACCGTGTTTGTGCCACAAAGTTACATTTTATGTACGGAAAGCACATACTCTTTTTCTCCCGCTCTCTCACTTAAAAGCACACACACATACTGTACAGTACTGACACACACGGAAACATACATGCGCACAGTAATGTGTTGTCAGTGCTGCTCTGACAATTTTATCAGTAAAATAGCTCAATAACTTCTCACAATGACATTTCTCACAAGAGAGGTAATAACGGCGCTGTTCTTGAAACGGATGAACTTACATTTTTGATATTAGTAGAGACGCTGCTGCCGATCACTGTTGAGAGATACACAGACTCAGGTAATTCACACCCGCTTAGTCTCTCTCTCTCATAACTGCATTAGTCTGCTATTAACGGCTCAAGCCTCCATTGCTAGGTCTACATGATATTTTGGAATTAGCAATGGAGGAGTTGGATGAAATGCATAAGAAATTAAGTGTTTTAAGGACAAAAACCTGATGAATGTCTTTAAATACAACATCTGAACAAATATTTGAGGTGTGGTAACCATAGTATTAGCAGAATAACTGACTCTGATTATTAGAAAATAATGCACACCCAAGGTGTAACAGCCACTCCGCTTCTCCGCATTGTAGCCACATCACCATCTCGGGTGTGCATTATTTTCAACAGCCCGTCTCAATAATTCCTTACTTATTATTACATTATAATTATTTAAAGTAATTTTAACCTTTTCAAATAAAAAAAAATCCCTGATATTTCAACCTTAGCTTCAACCAAAATAACACAGCTACCACAGTTACTGTTACTACTAAACCTTAAAGGGGTCATATGATGCGATTTCAAGTTTTCCGAGAGAGAGAGAGAGAGAGAGAGAGAGAGAGAGAGAGAGTGTCATACTCTGACCATAGAGACGGGCAGATATCGACAGCACTGGCTGCCCAAAGAGAGACGCATCTGCCCTTACTGTAATCATGGGGAAGTGGAGACATGAGAGAGGCGGGGCATAGCGGACCTACAATAATGTACAGTATTTGAAAAATAATGTGTTTTTTGAACATTAAAGCATGTCAACATATTCTGTTACACCAAATACACAAAATAATGATCTTTAAAAAAGCATCATATGACCCCTTTAATCAATATAGACCTTACTTTGAAGTGTACTAAGCTTTGAATTTTGTTCTTTTTGTGAAGGCTGACACCAAGTTCCCATTTTTATTGCAGCAGCAACAGCTGTAGTAACAATGGCAGAGATTATGGTTACCATGGAATTTCTATAAGGGTGGGTTCTGTCAGAATAAGAGACAAACAACAAAGTTTATATCACAACACTACACTAGTCTAAACTTTAGTAATCACCTACATGTAGAGCACCCTAAATATTTTATTTATTTATATTGCAGGAATGTGCTATTTTCAGTCAGCTAAGATTAATTAACGAGCCAAAGATAATATTCAGCTGGTCACGTGATGTTGCCCAGATGAGGCGACCCGCTCAGTTTAGGCTACTGATATGACTGAGATATGACTGATTTGTTATGGTAGTGTACCTTTAAAATATATTTCAAAATTGATGTCATTTCGGAAACCTTTTAATAAGGAAAAAATTACTGTGTGCACCTTTAAAACATCCGGCAAAAATGCAACATTAATTAAAAGCGGGATCTTTCCTAGTAAAATTGGGCCGAAAGCACTTCACAGCGCTGTTCGTGTCTAATGCCATTTTCAATTTCTCCTAACACAACACAATGCACGGGCACAATGCATTTAATCACATAAAATGCAGTCATGTTTAGTCCTGGCGCTGTAACAATGCCAAAGTTCCCCCAGTTGATGGGCTTTGAGGCACAATATGACCCTTTGGTGTGTTCATATCAGTTAAGTCATTGGTGGTCTAATGTGTTCAGCATATCCCAAACAGGATCATGACTCACGCAAAAAACGGCTACATCATTTCGACTTCCAGGGAGTCATATTTACACAAGCGACTACCAAATAAAGCATTTTTCAACCCCCACAGCCCCCTCGGACCAGCCAGGACTCTCTCTCAAGCCTAGAGTAACGTTAGATGACTTACAACAGATGGGGACACACACGACGCGACAAACAGATCCAAGATAACAGACGTCTGGGAAAGACATAGCCTGAAGGGACACTATTCGCATATGATCTGTGAATCACGTTTTGGGCCGATCCACGTCTGTCCTTTGAAGTGCAATGGATGGGACATCCCGACCCGAAGTTCTTAACCCAGGATCACTCTCCAGATCAAACCATAAAGCTCAAAATCCCTGGCTTACGCTTAGAAATAATGCATTCGACAAACGGTTCTGGTACTAAAGTTTCTTAAAAAGTGATAGTTTGACGTTCCTTACCTTAACACGTGTCAACGGCGATTTAGCAAACTATCCGGCGCTCTTTTAAAACCACATTTGCTATGGAAATAAACCTCCGGGCAGCGTTTGGACCAGCAGTCCAGTTGCTCGTCCGTGTCTGGAGTCTTTGTTTTGTGGCTACTTTGAATCAACAGCTGGTTGTAAAGTACTAAAAACACGCGATGCCCTTGCTTACAACCAACAACGGGGCATATAAATGGCTAAATGTGGGAAGGGAGTCCACCTCGCCCTTCCACGTCTCGGCGTGTCCTCGGTCCGGATGGTTAATGCGTTTGTATCTGTGGTCGGTGGACTGTGAATGTGAGACGGGTTTGCACTTCTTTGCAGTGGCAAGCCTCTCCCTTCCTCCGCCCACAGGAAATAATAACACCCCATCCACAATGCGAACAAACTAGTGGTTAGGATCTTCTTCTTCTTTACATTTTATTGGCGGTTGGCAAACCAACTGAAAGCTGCATTTAATAGTGGTTAGGATTCAGATTCAATTGACTTATCAAGTGATTTGATTCTTTTGAATCATTTTACAAAACGATTCATTCGGAGACTTTCTACTCAAGTGGCTGTTTTGTATATTATGAACGAGTCATTGAATCAGTCCCCGGGCAAATGACATTTACATTTATTCATTTAGCAGACGCTTTTATCCAAAGCGACTTACAACTGAGGAATACAATAAAGCGATTCATCATAACAAAAGGCAAATAAACACGGGAAGTGCTTGTAATACAAAATTTCAGATATTGTTCAGATTAGTACAAACTAGACAGGGAGGGATTAAGGAAAGAGAAGCAAAGTTTTTTTTAAATAGGCTATTAGGATGCAGTCAAGTGTTGACGAAAGAGATGAGTTTTCAGCTGTCGCTAGAAAATTGTCAGGGATTTAGCATTCCGGATGGGGGAGGGAAGATCATTCCACCAAACCGGGAAAAATATTCTGGAAAGTGGTTTTGTGCCTGATGGTACCATGAGGCGTCGCTCACTTGTAGATCTCAGGCTTCTGGAGGGGATGTAGATTCGTAAGAGTAAGTGGAAATAGGAGGGTGCTCAGCCCGTGGCTGTTCTATATGCAAGCATCATTCTCTTGAACTTGATGTGAGCCACAACCGGTAGCCAGTGCAGGGAGATAAAGAGAGGTGTGACATGCCCTTTTGGGTTCGTTGAGACCAGTCTTGCTGCTGCATTCTGAATCATTTGTGACCACCTAGCTGGATGGTGAAATCATGCTGTAGAGTTGGAGTGGCAGAGAAGAGAAGCTCAGTCTTTGCCAGGTTGAGCTGTAGGCTATTGCTTGATTTAGATACAGCTAGGCTCAAAGTTTCACGGACAGAGAGCTCTTTTGTTTACTTTTATGAAAAAATCCAGTTCAGCATGGTTTTACTGCTGGTCGAGGATTAGTCAGAGCAAGCGAGTCTGGACAGTTTCCGGTGTGTCCCATTTAAGACCAAATGTGATTAGACATCATTACACACCTCGACTATAGTCTAAACAGTGATAAGAACTCATACTCTTGAGGAAACGTCAAGTTTATGGCAGTCAAGATGACTTTCCTAGCTATGATGAGCAACTAGTTGAATTCTTATTCATGACTGAGCCAGTTGCATTGAGCTGAACAATGAGCAAACCGGGGAAAACAGTTAATGCAACAAAGGCCAGATACCCTAAAATAACCCTGAAACTGTCATGATAAGGGATAACCGCTGTGGGAAACACCACCTGCTTTGCAAGCAAACAGAGCCTGAAGGTGTGAAAATATGTACTTTAATGCATTTCCTGTTTAGGGAAACTTTACATTACTGTTCTGTGTGTGAAATTCAAATATGATTAGAAAATGCTCTCTCTCTCTCTCTAAATATAAACAAATCCATTAAAAGACCTTCAAAATTATATATTTTTATTAAATATAATATATTTTTATTATATATAATTATATATTATAGATTTGTTGGAATTGGACAAAAAATGACTGAGCTACATCTGTTTGTAGTCGATAGAGTCAGCAAAGTAAATTTTGAAAAAAGCCTGAAGGTGTGAAAATATGTACTTTAATGCATTTCCTGTTTAGGGAAACTTTACATTACTGTTCTGTGTGTGAAATTCAAATATGATTAGAAAATGCTCTCTCTCTCTCTCTAAATATAAACAAAATAAGTGAACTGGATTTATACAACAGTTAACAAATAATTCTTTGTGAAACCTAGAGTTAGTTGACTAGCTTTATCTACAATCAAGATCAATTGTAGATGATATACGACCATATTGATTAAGCAGGAAAAACTATAAATATAAGCTGAATAAGATATTTTAAAATCATATTTCAACTATTTTTGGCTTCCAGAAAGTTTTGGGGAAAGACGGGTTGCAGAGGAGAGGACAGGAGAGGAGATGACAATCAGTCTATGGATAGAGTTTGACTGTTTGTGGAAAGAAATATGTCAGCCATATGAGTCGGTGTTTACAGACGGACCATGATGAAGGTTAACTGGATTGAGATCATCCCAGCGCTCACCCAGTGTAGCTGATCATAGCTGACTGTTGACTAATTCTTTAAGCACATATACATTCAGAAAGAGCTTAAAATGCATCACATAAGCGACAGGGAAAATTAATATCCTCCCAGCACGAGTGCTGCCTGTGTGGTTACTGGTTTATCTGTAGCAACATCTTTGAGGAAGTGGCACAGCGGTGACATATTCTCAGTGATGAACTAATGCAAACACACACAGTACGAAACTCAGTGGTCGATAGCCAGAAGTGCTGAAGAAGCGGTTTGGATGTGAAACCGCACCACGCTCGCTCACGTTTAGTCAAGTGTTACCATGACGACACCGCAACGAACTTCACCATTGCAGCTCAAAACAATACGTGTTCTGCCTAATTCCCTATTAGCGATACAATTAACTTGAAGATTTTAACCAAAGGGTATGAGTTCACTCATTAGCTTAATTGTACAAAACTTTATTTTGATTTAACTCGGATGTGGGAAAGCAACGTTCAGCTTCGGGAATGAAGAGATAAAACAGCAGTCGCGATGACCTTATACAGCAGCACCATCTAGTGGCAGAGAAACGGACACTGCATGACAGCAAGTCTGAAAGAGCATGGGAAAGAAACAGAAGGCGTTCATTTCAAGGCCTCATTCACTCAGTGTACCATCAATGATTTTGAAACCGTTCTTTCAAGGTCGCTTTAAGCTCTTATTCATATTCATTAAGTGAAATTAGAAAACAAATAAAGATGCACTTAAATAAACTCTTTATACACAAACAACACGTTCTCTATATAAAGATAGTTATTTCAAACAAAATCTTTATAAAAACTTTATTAACTTAGCTCTTTGGAATGTTGTTGTTGTTGTTGTTGAGAAATTCATAAATCCAATTGGTCAGATGCTGAGAGACACAAGTCTTCAGTCTTCTTTTTTTTCCCTGTTCATCACAGAACTGTGAATACAAAACAGCCACCAGACAGATTGGACTTCATAACATCAAGTGAAATTTAGTTTTTTTGTGAGAGTCTGTGATGAAAAGCCAGTTCAGTGTCACTTCAGTTCCTCAGAACACAAAAACAACTATTACAATCAAGAAAAATACCATTTCATTTTAAATAACAAAAAAAAAGTGAGCTGTTACACTGACAGTTGGATTTCTCTTACCATTTAAAGTAGTTAACACTTTTATTACTATCTAACTCTTTCATTAAATATAATTCTCAGTGCAAAATGACACGTTGGTTCATTTGAGTGGGAGAAAAGTTTCTGGTGTCTCCTTCAAGCTGCTGAAAACAAACTGCTTTCCTGCTGTGTGTGAAATAGACCCAGATGCCTTTGTCAGCACTTGTCGCCTCGTCTTCCTTAAGTTGTCCTGTCAATGCTTAAGAGCATGGATCAGTTTGTGCCTTTTACATCCTTCAAATATAATTAATTTCCTTGGGGAGATGCTCCAACATTAGCGCTCTTAGATGCTTCATTTGCTTTGTCTCCGCTTCCATTCCCAGACGTTCCCAGAGTGAGCTTCTCCCCAGCGTCTCCTGATCAGGAGGGGTCCAGTCTAGAAGACACTATTTTCACAGATGGTCTGCAGACACTATGATGCCATTCTGAAACATGATGTCACTCGATACCATGGCAACACAAGTTTACAGACATGTCACATGGGCAGCTGAAAGATGATTTCCACATTAATATTCCTTTGTTTAAAAAAACACTGACTCAAGGAATGTCATATGAACTGCTGATTTACAATATATATAGTGTGAACATGAACCAAATAAAGCGATACCTAATCTATATACTTAACCAAATCTAGATACTTAACATTGACATAGACGTCGTGCGTATGTTCTGTTGAGATACTGTATATTAGATGCAATACTGACCTCTGACCTGTATTGGCCTGTATCTGTGAACAGTTTGTGCTCAAGAGCAATTGACTGTCTGTGTAAGGAGGAACCCATGTGTAAAAAGGCAACAAACACACATTTAAAGGCACCATTGGAATGAAGAGTGCGTTACCAACTGAACAAACACGTCTCCAAGCATAAATGAGCACAATAACACTGAAAACCCAGTTGTGTACAGCTCTGAAAAGGGGGCTTGTAGAAAAAAAAAATCCAACTGTGTGAGAGGATACATCATTTTGTCTTGGTCTCATCACCAGCAACAAATGTACAAACGAACAAACAAACAAGTAGACAATCATCGTCTGGCTGTACAATCTATACATGGCGCCCTCTAGAGGCCAGTCCCTCTTCCTTCACATCCTGAGAATAACGCTCAGTCTTCACCTTGAGGAACGTCGCAAAAACATTCTAAGAACGTTCCTCCAACATTGTCCTGCAAATGTGTCCTGTGTTCATCCAGCATTCCTTATGCCTCTGTGTAAGATTTCTGTGCACTGAGTTTTTCTTTCTTAAGTTTGACTCCGTCCACCAGCTCAAAGTTGTAGTTCTCCAGAGCGGAGAGGTTCCTGTTTGTAACGGACACTGCATGACAGCAAGTCTGAAAGAGCATGGGAAAGAAACAGAAGGCGTTCATTTCAAGGCCTCATTAACTCAGTGTACCATCAATGATTTTGAAACCGTTCTTTCAAGGTCGCTTTAAGCTCTTATTCATATTCATTAAGTGAAATTAGAAAACAAATAAAGATGCACTTAAATAAACTCTTTATACACAAACAACACGTTCTCTATATAAAGATAGTTATTTCAAACAAAATCTTTATAAAAACTTTATTAACTTAGCTCTTTGGAATGTTGTTGTTGTTGTTGTTGAGAAATTCATAAATCCAATTGGTCAGATGCTGAGAGACACAAGTCTTCAGTCTTCTTTTTTTTCCCTGTTCATCACAGAACTGTGAATACAAAACAGCCACCAGACAGATTGGACTTCATAACATCAAGTGAAATTTAGTTTTTTTGTGAGAGTCTGTGATGAAAAGCCAGTTCAGTGTCACTTCAGTTCCTCAGAACACAAAAACAACTATTACAATCAAGAAAAATACCATTTCATTTTAAATAACAAAAAAAAAGTGAGCTGTTACACTGACAGTTGGATTTCTCTTACCATTTAAAGTAGTTAACACTTTTATTACTATCTAACTCTTTCATTAAATATAATTCTCAGTGCAAAATGACACGTTGGTTCATTTGAGTGGGAGAAAAGTTTCTGGTGTCTCCTTCAAGCTGCTGAAAACAAACTGCTTTCCTGCTGTGTGTGAAATAGACCCAGATGCCTTTGTCAGCACTTGTCGCCTCGTCTTCCTTAAGTTGTCCTGTCAATGCTTAAGAGCATGGATCAGTTTGTGCCTTTTACATCCTTCAAATATAATTAATTTCCTTGGGGAGATGCTCCAACATTAGCGCTCTTAGATGCTTCATTTGCTTTGTCTCCGCTTCCATTCCCAGACGTTCCCAGAGTGAGCTTCTCCCCAGCGTCTCCTGATCAGGAGGGGTCCAGTCTAGAAGACACTATTTTCACAGATGGTCTGCAGACACTATGATGCCATTCTGAAACATGATGTCACTCGATACCATGGCAACACAAGTTTACAGACATGTCACATGGGCAGCTGAAAGAAGATTTCCACATTAATATTCCTTTGTTTAAAAAAACACTGACTCAAGGAATGTCATATGAACTGCTGATTTACAATATATATAGTGTGAAGATGAACCAAATAAAGCGATACCTAATCTATATACTTAACCGAATCTAGATACTTAACATTGACATAGACGTCGTGCGTATGTTCTGTTGAGATACTGTATATTAGATGCAATACTGACCTCTGACCTGTATTGGCCTGTATCTGTGAATAGTTTGTGCTCAAGAGCAATTGACTGTCTGTGTAAGGAGGAACCCATGTGTAAAAAGGCAACAAACACACATTTAAAGGCACCATTGGAATGAAGAGTGCGTTACCAACTGAACAAACACGTCTCCAAGCATAAATGAGCACAATAACACTGAAAACCCAGTTGTGTACAGCTCTGAAAAGGGGGCTTGTAGAAAAAAAAAATCCAACTGTGTGAGAGGATACATCATTTTGTCTTGGTCTCATCACCAGCAACAAATGTACAAACGAACAAACAAACAAGTAGACAATCATCGTCTGGCTGTACAATCTATACATGGCGCCCTCTAGAGGCCAGTCCCTCTTCCTTCACATCCTGAGAATAACGCTCAGTCTTCACCTTGAGGAACGTCGCAAAAACATTCTAAGAACGTTCCTCCAACATTGTCCTGCAAATGTGTCCTGTGTTCATCCAGCATTCCTTATGCCTCTGTGTAAGATTTCTGTGCACTGAGTTTTTCTTTCTTAAGTTTGACTCCGTCCACCAGCTCAAAGTTGTAGTTCTCCAGAGCGGAGAGGTTCCTGTTTGTAGTGTGAGAGCACGCGCAGTAGAACAGCACCCCGCACACGGCACCCAGCAGGACTCCCACAGCGCTCATCACGATGATGGTGATCAGGATGGGGTCTAAACTCTTCAGCATGGAGCCGCGTCCAAAACTCCACAAGGTGTTGTCAGCCCCCTCACAGTTCACTATTGAGAGAGACCAGAGACAGAAACAGAGAGATTTTAAGACCTGCATAAACAAGCTCAATTACATTATATAAGAGAATATACACGGTCAGCTGGTCATTATGGCAAAATAAATCTCAACAGGGTGATATAAGTTCGACTGTAATTATATAGTTTAGCAAAAAAAAAAAAAAACGTGTTCAATGATTATTTTTGTCCTTTTTCCAGTAAAAATATCTAAGCATCCTTAAAACAAAATACATTTAATTGCCATTATATACTTTAACAAAAAAAAAAAAAAACGTGTTCAATGATTATTTTTGTCCTTTTTCCAGTAAAAATATCTAAGCATCCTTAAAACAAAATACATTTAATTGCCAAAGAATATAAATAAATACATGTAGTATTGAATTAAATATTTTTCTTATTCCATTAGTATTGTTTCTTGTTTTAAATGTATATCTGTAAAACATATTTTTGTGACCTTTAATCCTTTTATTGACATTTAGCGACAAAGTATTTAAGAACAACTTTGCCATTGGGCTTCACATCTTATACAATTTTGCTTGTCAAGTAAATGTACACTGTAAAATTAGATTTTTCAAAGTTGCAAATAAAACAGATTATTGCACTCTAAACAATGCTGGGTTGTTTCAACCCAACTTTGGGTCAAATATGGACTAACCCAACCGTTGGGTTACATTTTTACATTAAATTTTTAACCCAAAAGTTGGGTTAGTCCATATTTGACCCAAAGTTGGGTTGAAACAACCCAGCATTTTTAGAGTGTGGAGTATGTTTTACAAGGACATACTATTTCAATTTTTCTACTTAAAAATTTAACGTTTAATTGTGTTACTTGCCACTTCTGTTTGTGAAATTTACTAGCCTTTTCTGAGTAAAAATGTTTCTACACCAATTTTTTTCAGTGTATTTTAACAAATACTGATTAAGAAAATATATTTGTTTTAAAGTATAGAGAGCCATGCAATAAATCATTAAATTGGGTCTTACTGTAATGCTTTCCCAATAAAAATGTGGGTCTTACCAATCTCATCAACTTCATCCTCATCACCTTCTGTATTATCTGGGTCTAAAACATAAACACACAATCAAACAAGGAGATGAACATTCTTCAAAATATCTTCTTCCACAGAAGAAAGAAATGCACAGAGGTTTGGAACAACAGCTTTTGTTTTTGGATAGACTATCTCTTTAAGATCACTGAAAAGTGGGTGGTCACTGTTGTGCTTGATTATTGTGGCAGGACTATTATTATCATTCAGTTATTAATATAAGGGATGCAGATGATGTGCAAAATACCCCAGAGGCATATTAATGAAGGTTACTGACTGGTGAGAGAATCTGCCAATAAAAGTAGCGCTGGCCAAATAGAAAAGAGGAGGGGCTTAATTGAAAGGGGTGTGGCTAAACATACCCTTGCACTCTTCAGGATCCACTTCATCCAGTATCTTTATATCATCCAGTGAGATGTAACCAGATTCTGTAGGATTCACTTGAGCCTCAATGATCACCTACCATGCACACACAGAAAAATAGTTAGTATCATGTTGTAATCAGGATGTTCTGTCCATAAAGTGGGCATCAGTACCTGATAAGGAGTGTCGGCACTGGGAATCAGAACTCTTCCTTCCCTCCATCTGCTTTTCATCTGGCCGTTCACAGAGCGGATCAGAACCTCATCATCCTCTCTCTCCTCCTCCTTCACCTCTAATGGCTCTATCTTCTGCTTGATGTTCAGAGTTCCTTTGTGTTTCTCAGTGAAATGGTACCAGAATGACATGCACAGGTTTGAATTTGGGGCCGTGACCGGCAAACTGGCCAGCCTCGCCACTCTTCCTTTTCTCGCCAGTTCTTCATCTGTCTCTGTTTCAGTTTTTCTCTCGATCTCTCTCTGTGTGTTTGTGTTAGAAGCTGCGTAAATGAAGTTGTGTGGCATCCCTGAAACAGAAGAGAGGAGCCATCAGGTTGTGAATCTGTTTCTTAAATGACTTCCTCTTCCTGCAATCATTTTATCTCAATATTCTTTAACCTAAAATTGGTTCTGACGTATTAAAAGTGCATTTAGGAATTTATTAATCTATATTGCATTTTAGTGTGATGGACAAGTCAATTATTCGTACCTGTGTGGTCCAGATTAGGCAGTTTGTGATCAGCGTATTTGCTGTTGTTATTTATATGCCATTCGGCTCCTTCACCTCCATCTTGGCTCCATCCACAGTACGAGGGGTTATCAGCCCAGCCAAAGTCACAGGCAAACCAGATGTATGCTAAACAGGAACACAAACAACGCTACTTCAACTTCCATTCAACCCCACTAAAGATGTTCAGTTAAGCTACAGTATGGTACTGAACACCCTCTATGCTTCTTGGACTGCCGGTAGCTTATTAGTCAAAGCTCTGGGCAGGTGTTCGAAAGGTTGTAGGTTTAAACCCCAAAGGGGAGTGAAGTGCATTGAGCAAGCCTGTATCCGCCAATAGTTACTGCAGCGAAATCTGCTAAATCACCAATAATCAGTGACCAATTGCACAGCACTGTATCTAGATATCACATTCTCCCATGACTCCAGTAAATCTCATGATCTAGGTAGTTTTTAGGAACTGTGAACTTTTTACATTCAATGTGTTTCTGTGGTGTTATAAACAGCTAAGCATCCTTAAAACAAGACACAATTAACTGAGAAGCAAAATTCAGAGATTTCAGAAAATATATCTTGAACTGAGAATAGAATGAAATATTTTTCTTATGAATATTTTTCTCATTAGCAATTTTTTTTCTTGTTCTAAGTATAAATCTGTAAAACAAAATCTATTGTTATAAGGTTATGCTTAAAAAATAAAGTAAACCAAGTAAACCTCATGATCTTAAAGAGAAAGGCAGTTTTTAGAAATCTTGTCACAACTGACGTGTTTCTGTGG